TGAGTAAGTCACTTGAGTAAAATTGCCTTTTAATCAGGGTCCTACGAATCAGATTGGTATTCTGCCACCATTTAAATAATGTCTGTTCTCAATAATTAGTTTCCCTCAATTCTGAAATTTTCTGAACTCCAACTTTGTTTTAAGTTTCTAAATATTTAAGCTAGAAAACAGCTAAACAGGAGTGAACAGGGGAAGGCAATCAGGTTTCCAAAGACCTGTTTCCTGTACAGAGACTTCTGCATGAGCAGTAACATCAAAATATCCTCCATAAAACCAACTTTTAAAAAATAAATGTGATGGAATTTCCTTTTAGATGCCGACTCGGTCAGCATTAAAAATGTGTAACAGTGAAAGTTGGCAAATGTGTTGTTATTTTATTGAACAGTAGAAGAGTCTAAATGTTATTTTATGGAAAACTTCATTTCCTGCCATGTGTTTTAACTTAGGACATGGCTAGTTGAGGTTTTAGTTGTGATATCCTTCGATCCATTAAGTATAAGAGCAAATACCAATGTTAAAACAGTTTCTCCATTATATTTTACTTATTCAATAGAAGCAAAAGGGTGGTGTATAACAAGAGCCACAATTACAGATCCTAATTGTATGAACTAACTTCAGAATGAATATGTGGCCTTTGAAAAGATTTCATTAATGTTTTTAATCCTCAGTTTTAGAAATACTTGTGTGTGTATTATATATTTGTATTAAACAAAATACAGTTGTGAGAGGGAGACATGTCTTAAGATCATGAATTGTGCAAGGCATTTTGTATTTCAATCATGACAGTTTTGTTCAGATTATTAAGATGAATAGCATTATGTACATCACTGTTCATATTAATACCAAAGGATGTAATGCATCTGGGAAGAGTTTTGGTCTTAGACACTATCTAAATGAAACTATCCCTTAATCAGTGTAGCTTTTGTACCTTCATTAAATTTTGGATGTTGAGAAATGATTAGTGATTTCATTTCACATAGTCTATCATTTTATTGTGGAGCATTCTTACGTATCACAGCTAACATTCAGGATAACAGTCTTCCTTGCCACCAGGTGGCTCTTGTGGATGTGTTTAAAGCTTACGCATATCTCATTTTGTGAATCCATCAGATGCCAGTTAAGCTGTTAGAAATGAAATAATCTAGCTCTTGGCTATGTTTTTACAAATTATTAAGCTGAAAGAAAATATCTTTGAAATAACATTTCTTTTTCATAAACATAAAAGGGAAGGAACAGAGACTTGTGATAATTCTCATTACTTGTCTTTGAAATTAGATACTTAGAATGTGTAGCAACAGAGGAAGATACCAGTTCTTCTGATACAGACCTTGCCCTCTTCCACATGAATCTGGATTCTCTGTAGTGTTGACCCCCTTCCTGCCACCCTTTTTATTTTTCTTGTCATGCTAGGGATTGAACCCAGGGCCTAACACATGTGCTGTACCACTGAGCTACATCCCTAGCCCAGCTACCCCTTTTTAAGCAACAAAATGCTCCTGAATTTCTTCCAATCTTTGTTTTGGAAACAAATTTTAAGGGACTTTTAAATTTTCTTTCATTCTGCAGATATTTCCTGAGCCTTACTACATGTTGGGCCCTGGGTTTGATCTAAGGAGGTGATTTAGAGATGTATTCTATTCGGTACCTAATTCAGGAGGCTGGTGATCTGTGATGAAAAGACATGTTCATCAGTATTTATAATTTAGTATGTGCTAAATACAGTAAGATAGGCAATACATTGTATTGGTAGGGAGAGGATTGAGAAGGTGGAGTGTAAAAGGAAGACCTCAGGGAAGGGGAGAGTATTTGTGCAGGACATGCAGGGGTGGATAGGACTTGATGGAACTCGGTGTGGTATATGCTGTGAGTAACTCGGGAAGAGTTTTGGAGGTGAACAGATGTCAGGTGCCTTTGAAGGAGGAGCTCAAGGAACTTAAACTGTTACGAGTTCCTAGGCCTTTTAGTTTCAGTTTTTTGTTTAGTTGTGTGGTAGAGCCGTTGGAGGTTTTTGGGTTTTTGTTTTTTCTGTGCTGGACAAGTGCTGTACCACTGAGCTACACCCCGGCACCTTTGTGAATTTTGAGCTGGGGAATAGCTTGATTTGGAATTTTATCCATATTCACCAATTGGCTGCTTTGAGAAACACAAGAAGGAAGCCAAGATAACAATTAAAGTGAAAAGAAAGAAGTTATCAGCTATGACAGAAGGGTTGGGCAGGGGAAAGAAAAGATGAAATGAATTCATGGAGCTTATTTGTGTTAGGGACAGAATGCTAGAGTCAAAGTTTATATATCATTTGAAAATAGATTTGACCATGTCAAGTCCAAGAGGGATCCAGAATTGAAATCCTGTATGGTTTTTCAGGGCTCCGTGAGTGCCGTGGAAACCTTCTCCACCTCTGCATCCCCATTCTAAGCACAAGATTCTGGTGTCTGGAACTGAGCAAAGAATATGGTGAATTTAATTCTGTTCTTGAGTATACTGTTGGGATAGTGCTGCCAGTTGATTAAGGGCCAACTGACATGGGTTTGAATGTTGACTCAGCAGTTCCTAGCTAAGTGATCTTGAACAAGTATTGAACCTTTCAGTTTTCTCATTGTAAGGTGAAGGATAACAACATTGTCTCTTGAGATACAGTATGATTATTCATATCAACTGAATGTGCATAAAACATTTAACAGCATCTGGTATATATCCAAGGTAAAGGTTCCTCAGGTATTGACTATTGTTACCCTGGAGGGTATAGATGTGATCCTAGAATTGGCAGAAAAGTGGTGATGAGAAGTCAGCAGGGGTTTGGCAGGACCTGGGGATTGCTGAGGGCCTCAGCCTGGAGGTGGGAGAGGGAGAGGAGTGAGGCCCTTTAGGGAAGGCTCCCACTGAAGTGTGGAGTAGAAATAAAAATGGAGGGGGACCAGGTCAGAGAGGCAGGAGTGACCTAAAGAGTTCACTGTCAGCTAGCCCAGGCAAGGAACATGTTTCAGGATGGAAAGTACTAGATTCAGAGAGATCAGGGAGGGTTGGAACTGAGACTGAACATTGTGCTTTTGCAGGAAGACCTTGACTAACCTGGGAGGAAGTTACAAGAAAACAGAAGCCTGATTACCTGTGGTTAAGAAACATCAAGGAAAAGGGGAGTTTCTGTAGGGTGAAGAACAACCAATCATCTCAGTAGAGGAAGGAATGGATGGAAGACAAGATTTCTAAAATATCTTAAAGACAGTATGGCATATAAGTTTGCACTTGCAAAATAATTGATAGGATGTAAGTGTAGTACAAGCCCACTACACTGCACAGTTGTCATCCAAGTGAGTGGTCCCCTTGGGAATGTGCAGTGCACATATATTAATAAAGCATAATATATAATATAAGCAAATATTCACACATTATCATTAGAATACTTAACACTGCCCACCTGCATTAAGTACTTATTAGGGCTTTTGCATGTATTATCTTATTTAGTCCTCACAGTAACACTGTGAGGCATAGGTGTTACTATAAGCTGCTCAGTCGCACAGCTGCACTTGGTATTGGATTAAATACCAAGCAGTGTAACTACAGAGTTCCTTCTGTTAAGAGTCATATTCTGTTGTTGCTTTTGTTGCTGAATGCTTAGGACAAGCCAGTGGCATTTGATATCATGTCTGATGAAACAAGATGGTACTAGAGGGAAATTGAATGTGATGGAAAGGACTGATGTTTGCTGATAGAGCAGTATTTCAGAGGGGTAGGTGGGACTAGATTGTGCTAGTAGAGGTGAGTGCTAGTAGAGGGGCAGTCATGGAAAATCAAATCACCATGACTTGGTCTCCAAGTGACAAGGAAGAAAGGATCATCAATGATACAGAAAAAGAGAGGCAAGGAATTTTTCAGGAGAAAGAAGATATTTTAGGAGATATTTAGAGGTGGCGAGAGAGATGACCATCCAACATGAAAATTGTCGAGTGGATTTTTTAAAATGATCTCTCACTGATGGTTTGATTAGACCTGGTAGACCTATTGTAGAAAAGGGCCAAAATGAATTAGAATTAGGGTGGGAGGTTCATTGACCTTGATGGTTTTCCAGAGCACCCTTTGATGGAACTGTGAAGGTTGCCTTCCAAGGAGGAGATTGCATTTGGTCAACTGCTGCTGCTTTGATTTGCTGCCACAAGTGGAGTTGAACCCAAATAGGAGGTTGAAGAAAGAGTCTTATTGTGTTTCTTTATCTTTTGAAGATATTGCATGTTTAGAGGAGGAAGAGAAAAAAAAAAAAGAAATACAAAATGGAATGAAGAATGAGCAAATACAGATATTTTGAAGTTGAGGGTTGCATAGTTCTTTAGCTGGTCAGTTTTAACTAGTTTCTGGAAACCAGAAACTCGAGCTAATTGCAGGGAAGGGCTCTTTCTGTTGCACTTGTTGTTTTTAAGGTCTTAAAATGTGTATATTTTGTAAAATATAATATATAAATTAGAAGAACTAAACAAAAAAAATGAGTATAGACCCAGTTTTTCCATTAAGGTTTAACACACAGTTACTCTGTAAAATTGCTTAGAAAAGAGAAGAATGTTTAGTGCTTGCCTTTAATTTCTGAAATTAGTTCATCATGGACTCTACACATTGCAGAGCAACAGTGGGCCTCATTTTGTGCAGTTGTAATGGAGCATTTAGAGGTTAGGCAGGGTTGTTTATGGGTTCTGATCCCCAGTGCTCTTGTGCATGGCATGTGACATATACTCATTAGACAAATGCTGGTTAAACAATCACACTAAAAGATGATTTTTTGGGGGTAGGTAGAATAAGATTAATATTATAGTATGTCTTTAAAAAAGAAGTTATTTAAGATTTATTCACTTGATGGCAGACAAACCCAAAGCAAAGTATACTTTACCTGGTTGAATGATTTTCGAAAGCAGTGTCTTTGTAGATTTCAAAAAATCTTAGTTCTCAGAAAGTTCCTGGTTGCCTGTTAGGCTGTGTACACGCTAATCTAAGCCACAGCTTATCTCTGGCCATAGGTGGTGGCAGCGGCTAAGGTGTGTGGAGCTGTCAGTGAGTCGCCTTCAGTGAAGAGCCTCCGCTTGCTTGTTGCAGATAAAGACTTTTCCTTTAAAGCTGGCCAGTGGTAAGTGGCTTTTCTTTTTTTCAAGGGTGTATATTTAAGAAGGTGTCATCAGATTGAAGGGATTATCTTTTCAACTTCTGTGGCTAGCTGTTCCCATTCCCACAGAGGAATTCTAGGCTGTTTCTGTTCATGGTGTGCCTTTTCTGGTATGGAGAATCTGATTCTTTTCTTGGCTTGAGCCCACTTCAGTTTTGACCCTGTGGCCCTGTCTCTCAATCATATAACGGAAACCGCTTTGAGTTTTCCAGTTTCAAACAAAGAAGCTAGTTCTAGTCCATGGAATTGACAGCTCTGAGTATTATGTTCTCAGGAATGCATCCTAATAGAATACACTGCAGTCATCTAATCTGCTTGAGTTTTGTGTTGTTGGGGATTTGTACATTTCTAAAAGTCTTTTTTTTAATGTCTAATACAGAGTTGACCAAGCAGTCTGAAAAGAATAACCAGTTATGTTATAGAACTAACCATCCTCTTGACTGAATTCCTGTGTTACTCATACCTTGCCTGGGTTAAGTTTAAATATTTTGCTTAATTTACTCACAGGATTCCCCAGTCAGGCCCAGCTCACACACAAATCTTAAGTCTGTTCCATTCCACTCTGAGGACTAATCAGTATGCTGACAAGCTAGCAGGCCAGCTGTCCCACTGTTCCTTGGAATGGCCTCACTGAGCTGCAATTCAAGTTGAATTGTAAATAAAGCAACTTGTATTTCCCTAGGAAAGGTGTGTTTGGGTGTGTGTGTGTCCTTTATTTAAATAAAGCATTCATTTCTAAATGAGTTTTCTGGTATGTCAATCTCCATAGTATTTCTTAGGAGTCACTTGACTAATTTTGGCAGTCCATCTGGAGATGTGGTTTTGTTAGGAGGAGGATGTGTGATAATAGCAAGTGTGATAATAGCAAGAGTTAGCAGTCTTGTGTTAATAGTTTGCCTTTGAATTTAGAACTAGAAAACAAGATGCTGATTGCAATAATTTGCGTTTGTGAAGCAATTTACTGCAATCTTTGCACATGTTCGGTGATACATATTAAATCCATTTTGGCAGTTTTGGGGGTGGGCAACATATTTACCCTTCAAAAATGGTTTAGCAGTTATTACGTTGAAAAGTGAAAACTTTAATTGTAATGATCTGTTTTTCCATATTTCCTTTCTGTGGAAGTGTTTGTGTCCTGTGCACAGCATTGTCTCTATGCCTTCAACTCTGAATTATTCCAAGACTCTGACTCTAGTCTCCTGGGTAGAAAAAGCCTGAGCCTTGGTTATAATGCTCCACCATGGTGTGCCTGCAAGTGCATTAGCTCTTGCAGACTGCAGTTCTCTGATAAGAAAAATGTCATCATTCCCTAACCATATATATAGAAATGGGGTCCCATTGTGATTCCAAAGAGAAAATTATTCAGGGTCGGTTTTCCATTCCAATGAATGGATTTGGTCACTGACATTAGAACTGGTTTTAGTGTGTGTCTCAGACTTTTGCTTCAGAAGTCACACAGGGGATAGTGATCACTGGTTGATTGGCAGTGACCCTTTTCCTCCCAGCTGTGGGTCTAGCCTTCAAACCCTCCCCTTTTAAAAGACTTCACCCTTACTGTTGATTTATTATATATCTGGGGTTATGAATTCTTTTTGGTATTTGACTTTATGATTACATAATGACCATTTTACATAAATTGGTGTTGTCCACCTGTTCTTTGCTGTTGCTAGGATTGGTTTGTGTTCTAGGGTTTTCTTAGATGAACAGGTTAGTAGTAACCTCCATGTGGCATTTTGGAGAAGGCAAGGATTAGTGAGAGGAGTTAGGATGTTGCTGCCTCCCAGCCAGTGGTGATCAGAGTGGAGAGCTGCTTGAGGTGAAGAGGATTGCTGTTGGGATTATCTCTGGGATGAGAGATTGGGCCATTGTCCCACGTCTCTGAATTTTTGAGTGACAGCTCCTGACACCTGCCAAACTCTCAGAATGAGGTTCCAGGAGTAACTTTAAATGAATGTTGTCCATGACCAATTTGAGCTCTGGATACACATCCCCATGTAGATTTCTTCAGCACATAGCAGAGAGAAATCTAAGGGGACTTTACCTACACTGCACTGTGTTCTAGCAAGTCAACCTAGAGAGAAAGGCCAAAAGGAGAAACCATTTCAAAAATATCTTTCCTATGAGCCAGGGCTACAGCTCTTGGACTCCACTTACCAGTAGGTTGACAGCTTGCTTATTAGCAAGTACCTTCTTGGTGAGTCCTGCTCTTGACCTTGTCATTGCTCTTTCCTATTTGTGGAAAAATTGACACTCCCTCTCAGGGCTGAAGTGTGGCACTAACAGTCCTCATGCAAGATCTTGATTGCCCTGTTCCACTTGCTGCCTTCTTCAATGGCTGCACTGCTGAGGATGGGATCCATCCCCAGAGGGAGGCATCATGGCCTCATGTTCTTGAGACTGCCCAGTTCATATTGAAGACTACCTACCTGCTAGGTCTGATGTGGGCCTTTTCCACATTTCTCTGGGCTTTGGTTTTCACATCTTTAAATAGGGAGCAATAGTATTCCTGTTTGGGATACTAAGTGTTTTTGCACAGTGGCTAATATTAACTTCATTAGTTTGGTATTTTTTGTATGCTAGTCAGCTCATCATCACTATAACTAAAATACCTGATAAGAACAACGGTTTCAAAGGTTTCAATCCATAGTCGGCCAGCTTCGTTGCTCTGGGCTCAAGGTGAAGCAGAATGTTGTGGTGGAAAGGCATGGCAGAGGAAAGCTGCTCAGTTTATGAAAGGCAGGAAACAAATAGAGCAAGAGAGAGAGTGACTGAGACTGTGACTGTTCACTCTAGGAGCCAGGGACAAGGTATAATCTCAAAGGGTACATTCCCAATGTCAGTTCCTCCAGCAATGTCCCGTCTGCCTATAGTTACCACACAATAATCCATTCAGATTATCAATCCATCAGATGAATTAATTCACCATTGAGGTTATAGCTCTCCTAATCATTCTACCTCTGAACATTTCCGCACTGCCAAACATGAGCTTTTTGAACGACATGTTATATTCAAACCATAATAATTAGTATTTGACCAAGTCAGCTAGATTATCTGTGCTGGTGAAACCCAGGGGGTCAGATTCCAATTCTTAGTTACTTGGCCAGTTCTCCTGCAGGGAAGATGTTGGTTCTGCCTATAGAACTGCGGGCCAAGTCAGAAGGTGAATGAGTGCACACTGCCAAATGACGTTACTGATGGTACTGTCAGTGATGAGTCCTTTCTAGGCTGTCTAAAGGAGGATGCCCAAGAGGAAGCAAGGCCAAAGCATATTTGCAGCAAAAAGACTTTTGGTTCTGATATAAATTTCTTTGATAGAAAGCAACTTTGGGGACCACTACCCCACCCTTGAGTAGGGTCACTGTGTTGTTGACAGCATACAAACTACACAACTGCATGCAGCAGTGCTGAATTTCACACAACTACACAAAGAAAGTGCATTCCCTGGCTCTTTATCTAGCCTCTGTCCTCTGTTGACTTGTTCTAAGACTCAGTTTAAGTGGCTTCTTCTCTCAATTCCTTCACTCCTGGTGGTATTGACTACCCCTTCTCTGATCTGTCTCCCTACCTTAATATTTTATCAAAGCCCACTTACTTGTATTTTTGTGATTTCTTTCCCATTAGAATGAATTTGTTGAGGGCAGGAACCAAGATACCCTTAGTTTCTGTACCTCCCATTGCAGTGCTGTCTGTGGTAGGCAGGTGGGTGAGGAGCTCTGAGTGCTGTAGCAGAGGACTAGAGTTTGGGATCTCATAAATATCATCATTTGACTATGGTTGGCATGCCCTGTGTGCTGAGCACTGGGATCACCTCTGTGGATAGGACTTAGCTGCCTGCTTTGTCAAAGTTGGACACAAATGTGTTGCTTTACTACACACCTGGATCCCTTTTCTCAGTTCTGCTTATACATAGTAGATGCCTCTGCTCATGTTCCTAGAGTGATTAATCCTACAAAGGGTGTTTTTTTAAAGGTTTGTGTTTAAAGTTTAATTCTTTCATGGACAGGTGTTTTATGAAATATGTACTGTGCATATTTTCTTAAATACATTAATATGGGACTTCTAATATAATTTGAATTTTTTGTACCTTTTAATTTAGGAGTTGTTTTCTTCTCCGAAGGTAGCTTTCCAAAGGTGAAAGGGATCAATCCTTTTTAGTAATCTAAGGAAAAGGAATTTATCACCATTGAGCAGCAGAGGGTGCTGTAGTTCAGGAGATGAAGCAGCAAAAGTAGCTATTTGTTTATTTGTATATATGGATATAGTATAGACACTATGTACTTCCTCTCCGATAGCATATAGCACACATTAACAAATGGGAACTATAGTGTTTATAGTTTTTATATTGCCCAAAATGAAAGGGAAGTTAAAGTATTCACAGAGAAAAGTCAAGTGAAAATAGGTAGAAGTAGGTAAGATGGCCCTTCCTGGAGCACTTCCAATCTTGAGCCATTTTTGGGGATGGGGTGGGAGGAGGGTACTGGGGATTGAACCCAGCAGTGCTTTACCATTGAGCCACATGCCCTGCTTTTTTATTTTTTAAAGACAAGGTTTCACCAAGTTGCTTAGGGCTTCATTAAGTTGCTGAGGCTGGCTTTGAATTTGTGAGCCTTCTGCCTCAGCCTCCTGAGCCACTGGGATTACAGACGTGCACCACTGTGCCTGAATAGAGCTGGTTTATTTTTTGTTTTTGTTTTTTTTCAAACTATCAGAAATAAACAAATGTCTAAGGCTGTAGATTAGAGTAAAATATATTTTAAGGTCATAGACCAAACTGATAGAAAGCCTCTTATGCTTTTCACATAAGCTGTGTGTAAGAAAACAAATGGAAATGGGATACTTTCTGTTCTTGATGGCAGAGAAATACCTAGAATGGGTGTTAAATCTTCCTAGACATGGGGTTGAGAATTTTTCTTGGTGCTGGGTCCTAATACATTTTTCTGTCCTTTTTACAAGATTTGTTGCATTTCCTATAATCTGCACCAAAAAGGGTTTCTGTGGCATAGGAGTTTTGAGCTTCCAATAATTCTAAGTGTTCTAGGCTGTAAGATGTGGTTAGAAGAAAAGGAGAAACAAGCCATGACACAAAGCCACATCAGCCTATTTAAGTTTGGCAAATACCAGCAGAAGTGTTTTTGTGCTTCCTTCCTTGTTGTACTTCTTTAAAAAGCATTTTTTGAGATAAGTGAATTTTATACATTAAATTTTATATAAAGAGTACAATTCACTGAGTTTTAGTATATTCAGTTGTTTATCAACCTAATCAAATTTTAGGACATTTTCATTATCCCACAAAGAAACCCAGTACCAATTGCCATTCATTTCCCTATTCCTGCCCCCTTAGATAACCATGGATCTACTTTGTCTCACCGGACACTGATATCACATAATCTATGATTCCATTTATTTTTTTTTTTGGTGGGGGGTGTACTGGGGATTGAACTCGGGGTCACTTAACCACTGAGTCACATCTCCAGCCCTATTTTGTATTTTATTTAGAGAGAGGGTCTCACTGAGTTGCTTAGCGCCTTGAATTTTGTTGAGGCTGGCTTTGAACTTGTGATCCTCCTGCCTCAGCTTCCCAGGCTGCTGGCATGGGAGGCATGCGCCACTGTGCCTGGCAGATTATGTGATCTTTTTGTGACTCCTTTGCCTGGCTTCTTTCACTTAACATGATTTCACGGTTCAACTATGTTGTAGCATATAGCAGTACTTCATTTCATTGTATGAATATTTTGTTTATCCATTCATCAGTTAATCAACACTTAAAGATTGTTTCCATTTGGTGTTTCCATTTGGGGGCTATTGTGGATAATGCTGCTGTGGCATTGGTGTACAAGTTTCTAAATGGACATATACTTCCCTTTCCCTTTAGTGTAAACCTGAGTGAAATTGTTAGGCCATATGGTAACTCTTAACATTTTCATGCATTGCCAAAATGTTTCCTAAAGGATATGCCATTTGACATTCCTACTAGCTTTGTATCAGGGTTCCGATTTCTCTAAACTCTCACTGAAACTTGCTGTTTTCTGTCCTTTGGATTATGGCCATTTATTTTATATGAAGTGGTAGATCATTGTGGATTTGATTTACATTTTCCTAATGACTAATGATGTTTAACATCATTTCACGTGCTTACTAGCATTTTTAATATTGTTTTTGAAGAAATGTTAGTTAAAACCCTTTGCTCATTTTAAAATTTGGGTTTTCTTTATTACCAAGTTAGAGGAGTTCCTTATATAATTTGAATACAGATCCCTTAATAGATGTATTAAAAATTTTTCTCACATTCTGTGGGCCGTCTTTTAACTTTCTTGATCATATTTGTAGCACAAAGTTGTTAACTTTTATGAAGTCTAATTTCTCTATTTGGATTTACCCTTGTGGTTTGGTGTCATATCTAGGAAACTAATGCTGTGAAATCTACTCCTGGATTTTCTTCTAGGAGTTTATGATTTTGGCTCTTAAATATTTAAGTCTGTGCTCCATTTTTATGTGTGTATGAGACAGATGTATTTTATTTTATTTTTTGCATATAGATATCCAGTTGTCCCAGTACCATTTGCTGAATAAACTATTCTTTTTCCATTGATTTATCTTGGCACCTTTGTCAAAAATGAATTGACTGGCCAGGTGCAATGGCTCATGCCTATAATCCCAGCGGCTTGGGAGGCTGAGGCAGGAAGATCGAAAGTTCAAAGCCAGCCTCAGCAAGAGTGAGGCACTAGGCAACTCAGTGAGACCCTGTCTCTAAATAAAGTACAAAATAGGACTGGGGATGTGGCTCAGTGATTGAGTGCCCTTGAGTTCAGTCCCTAGTACCCCAAAAAACAAACAAAAAACCAACCAAACCATAAATTTAAGGGTTTATTTCTGTATTCTTAATTCTTTTCTATTGATCTTCATATCTGGCACTGGTTACACCAACCAGTACCACTATGTCTTCATTACTCTAACTTTGTGGTAACTTTTAAAATCATGAGGTCTGAGTCATTTAAATTTATCCTTTTCCAGGATTGTTTTAATGATTCTGGGTTCTTGAATTTCCATTTGAATTTTTTTAAATTGTCAGTTTCAGCAAAGAAACTAGGTGGGGGCTTGGTAAGGTTATTGCGTTGAATCTGTAGATAAATTTGAGATGTATTGCCATCTTAGCAATATTAAATCTTCTAATCCATGAACATGGAATAGCTTTCCATTTATTTAAATCTTTAATTTTTTCAACATTTTATAGTTTTCAAGTCTTTGTTAAATTTATTACCAATTTTGTTTTTTTTTTTAAGTGCTATTACAAATGGATTTTTTTAATATTTCACATTTGGATAGTTCACTGCTAGTGTATGGAAATGTTTTTTTATATACTGAAATATAGCAACCTAATTTGCAGTTGTTTAATAATTATTAATCTTTTTAGTGAATTCTTTTGGGTTTTCTATGTATGAGATGACACCCTCTCCAATCTGAATGTCTCATATTTTCTTTTACTTACTTTGGCTAGAACCTCTAGTGCAGTATTGAGTAGAAATGGTAGGAGTAAATATCTTTGTTTCGTTCCTATAGGGAGGAAATTTTCAGCCTTTCATAATTAAATATAAGGTTAGCCATGGGTGTTTTGTAGGTGCCCTTTTTAAGTTTGAGGAAGTTCTCATTTATTCCTGATATCTTGAGTGTTTTTATTGTGAAAGAATGTTGCATTTTATCACATGCCTTTCCTGTATCTAGTAAGATAATCATGTGGGGTTTGTACCTTATTCTACTAAGTTGTATTACATTGTTTTCAAAAATTAAATCAACCTTGTATTCATGGGATTTAAAAAAAAAAAAAAGGTTTTTTTTTTTTTGGTTTGGTTTCTTTATTCAGAAGGGATATTGGTCTGTAGTTTTATTGCAGTATTTTTGATTAGCATCAGGGTAATACTAATAGCTTCACAAAATGTATTGGAAAATATTCTATTTTTGGAAGAGTTTGTGAAAGGTTAGTATTCTTTAAATGTTTGGAATTCACCAGTAATGTCATCTGGACCTGATCTTTTCTTTATGGAAGTTTTAAAATGACTGATTTAGTCCTTTGACCTCTTATGGATCTGTTTGGGTTTTCTGTTTTTCTTGATTTATATTTGGTAGTTGTGTCTATTTAGGAATATGAGCTTTTCATCTAAGTTAACTGTCTTTGATATACAGTTGTTTATATAGTTTCTTTATGTTCCTTTTTATTTTTGTAAGATTGATAACAGCCACTCTTTTTATTGTTAATTTTAGTAGTTTATCGTTTTTCTTCTTTGGTCAAGTTAACTAAAGTTTTGTCGATTTCATTTATTTTGACTGTTTTTTAAAATTGCTTCAACAGTAATCATTTATCTGCCTTTTCTTTTAGGATTGATTTCTTTATTCCAGGAGTCTCTGTAGTTGGTGGGTTTTCAATATGCTCCAGTCCCAGACTGCTAGAACAAGAGAGAATGATAGAATTGGCAGTGAAATATACAAACCACCCGCCTGCTCTTTGGATTCACAATAAGGTAAGCAACTGCTTTTTTAAAAATTGGAGATGTGGGCATCTCTGGCTTCCACAAATTTGGGTTCAGCTCACTTGATCTACCTAAAAACCCTAATGTTGTATATAAAGGGTACATGTTCATACAGTTTCCTAGAAAAGGTAAAGATAAGTATGACTCAGAAGGCCTGGGATTTGGAGATAATTTGTTTTTACCAAACAATATTTGGTGGAATACTATTGTAGATTTAAAATATTTTGTTTTTGATAATTGACCGTTTGTTGTGTAAATGGTAAATCTGTAAAGCAGACTGTTTTACAATAATTATCCTAAATAAAGGAAATTAAATTATAATTTTGTCCAGTATTTGGAGGAAAACTACCTCTGATTACATAATACCGTGGTGCCTAGAGATGAGCACAAATCCATGGTGCTCTCCATTTTAACCCCTTGAGAGCTCTTCACAGGGTTCTGAGAGGCAATCCAAATTTAACTGCATACTTAAACACATACTTTACCACAGGGCTCAATACAAGTCCTATGTAAGCTGCCTGTCATTACTTGAACTCTGATAGCAAAGTCTGAACTCAGAATAGGTCAGTTAATTTTTGGCCCTTGTTTCCATCATTGCCATCCTCTTCTTGATTAGAGTGTGCCTTCTATATTTACCAATAACCTCCATCCCATTCTGGGCATTTAAAAAAAAAATCTCCTTTACCTAAAAGAAATGTATGATACAAATATGGCTTCAAAAAATCTGTACTGTCCCTTTATATTCATGGAACTCATTGAGCATCAACAATGGAAAATGGAAAACAAAACTGTAAACCTTATTTTCAGCAGAACTTGGAACATACTCCAGTATATTTTTTTTAAGGTTTTAGAGAATTGTATTTATGTAGGAGCCACATGAGACTAAGTAGAGGAAAAAGGCCAATAGTAGCAGATTCCAGTGTATCAACAAAAATACATGTGTTGGGGGTAGGACATCTCTCTTATCTGTAAAAGTTTGGAAACAAGGTTGACTTCCTTGACTGCAGAAGTCCCACCTGGCTTCATCATGGTTTGTTTAGGAGAGAGGGCATACAAAGAATCATATTGACCAGTCATATTTGTAGGAAGTAATATGCCTTTGTAGGGGCTCAAGGAAGCTGCTGTGTTGTGAAAACTTGCTAGCTTAGGACACTGTCTTGGCCCATCCCCCAATACAGAACCCTCTTGGAGAGAGTTGGTCTTCCAGAAAGCACAATTTATCTCAATTTCATGAAAGAAATCAAAGAAGACATGAGTAAATATTCATGAATTAGATTGAATATGTTACTCCTCCTTAAATTGACTTATAAATTATAACATAGATTTATTATGTTCTCATTTCTATATTTACCAACATTATGATACAAATATGGCTTCAAAAAATCTGTACTGTCCCTTTATTTTCATGGACATCATTGAGCATCAACAATGGAAAACAGAAAACAAAACTGTAAACCTTATTTTCAGCAGAACCTGGAACATACTCCAATATATTGTTTTAAAGGTTTTAGAGAATTGTGTTTATGTAGGAGCCACATTTTAGTCAAAATCTTAACAGGAGTTCTTGTAGATATAAACAAATGATCTTAAAATATATATGGAATGTAAAAAGAATAGCTTAAACAGTTTGGGAAAAGGAGCATAAGAAATAGAAATCACATTACTCAAATTTAAGATAAAAATAAAGCAACAGTAATCAAAATAGTGTGATACTGGTAAAAAGATAGACACAGATCAGAAATACGACCATTTGTTTGACAAAAGTGCTAAAGAAACAGTGGAGAAAGGATACCTTTTAAACAAATAGTGCTGGAATAATTTTACATCTATATACAAAGCAAGAAGTTTGACCTAAACCTTATACTTGAAATTTAAAATTAACTCAAAGTTAGTTGTTGATCTAAATGTAAAACATGATCTTATGAAAGTTCTAGAAGAAACAGAAAATACTGGGAACTTGAGGACAGGCAGAAGTCTTAAGACATGACACTGAAAGCAAGATTCATAAAAGAAAATAATATATAGGACTTAATCAAAATTGAAACTTTTCTTGCAAAAGACTTGACAGAATTTAAAAAATAACCTACATATAGACTGGGAGAAAATATTTGCAAATCAGATACCCAACAAAGGACTTGTACCCAGAGTATAAAAAGAACTCTCAAAAATCAACAAAAAAAATGGGAAACAATAATTTTTTGAAATGGGCAAAAGATTAGATAGACACTTCACTGGAAAGGATATAAAGATGTAGAAGGATATTAATATCCTACAGGTCCATTGTATTTGTTCAGGACGGTCCCCAGGTGCTTGCTTGCCTTGGCATTTCTACTGTAAATATATCCTGTCACATTTTTATCCGTTCATCTTCTGAGTTCTCTTTGGTATGGCCTTAGCTGCCTCATTCCTTTTTTAGAATTATCTGTAGATTTTTCAACCCATTACTGCCTATCAACTGCTCGGAGTCTCTAAAATATGCCATTGGGGTGAGACCAACAAGAGGTCCACATGCCTCTTGTCAGATTCCAAGTGAGCATTGCCATTCTGGTTCCTAATGCTCTGAACCTGTGAATATGTACTCACTCAATACACGCACACACTCTGCCCTGCGGTTGCTTTTGGTGCCCATGTGACCTGACCTGGTGCTGGTCCACAGCTCTCTGCTAGGTTTCATGCCTCATTGGCATTTCAATGAAGGAACTTATTCTTAGAGGCTGTAGAAAATTTCAAAGTGGCGTTGCCTGAGTGCACCTCCTAATTGTGGTGCCTGTTCTCTGCCCAGTGGGAGTTGCAAACAGCCTTTATGAAGTCAGATTTTCTTTGGAATCATTTTCAGGTGGCTATTTTCCTCCTGAGGATTTTGTCTTATTAAGCTATTAAGAGTGGACAATGGAGGCACGTGAGTGTCTGGGTGGCAGCAAGCTGGTCTGTTGAGACATGGATAAAGTGCCATAAATGTCTTCCTTTATTTCATTGGCTTTGGCTCAAGCTCTTGGCAGGGTAAGGGGTTCTGGATAGCTATTGTGTACTGGGCTGCAGTTACTGTGGAAAGGTTTTTTTTATTTCACAAGTAAAAATCGATACTCAAATTTGATTCATTTCTAAGTAATTGAAGGTAACTTTCTTTTAATTACATGTTGTGCTATACGGTGTCTTGAGTCTTGTGTTCTTGCTGTCCTGGCAGTTTTTATTGATCAGGAAAAGACAAAGATGGTTTTTGATTCTTTCCAGATGGTAGCAAATTAATAGATAGATCTATTGAATATTATTTTTGTCACTAACAAAAAAAAACCAGGTTTCTTTGGTATTATCCTTCCCAAAGTATATTTTCTTGGCCGTTCTGAGGTTGAACATACATTAGTTTCTAAAAACAATTAGCTAACAGCTTTCTTTGTCACTGCTAAACACCTTGAAGATGGCCATTGGAAAAAAAAACAATGTCTCCCAAATTCTTATAGAGATGTGTATGGGAAGGTAAGAGAGATGGAGGATGTAGGAACATGAAATCCATTGTCATCATAAGGCAGAGTTTCTTGTATTTTAGGTTCTATTTTCAAGACTTGAAGGAGCATTTTACTTTGGTAGCCAATACAACCATTCCTAGATTGTTATTCCTAACCAGTGCTCCCTTGCTGCTAATTTCTTTTGTCAAAATGAAAACTCACTCATGTAACATTTTCCTGCATATTTAAAATAGTTAAATTAAAACATTCCCCTCCCCAGAGATTTTCATTCATTTAACAGTTCTTTACAAAAATGACCTATTTTATGAATTAAAATAATTTTCATTTTTCTTATTTTTTCTCTAAGTTAACTCATTGTTAAGAGCCTCAAGTTAAATTCCATTCCAAAAGTATTTACTACTCACCTGCCTTGTGAGATGCCAAGGTATGAATGCCAAAGAATTGGTTCTCAAAAGTTGAGTGTGTAATTACTTAAGGAGAGAGTTCACTTACCAAGAACATGTAATGGGACAAACCTATGCTCTTAATACAGATTTCTTTATTCCTGGCTTCTGTTTTTTAGTAGTGGAAGAAGGAATCAGGCTCACCCACCACCTGTTCTCTGTGACAGCCATAATAATGAAAACACTTTCTTTCATAGAGCCAGATACCACCAGGGATTTACCTCTACTGTGAGTCATTTCATGCCCACAACAGCCTGGAAGTGGACAGGGCAGGTGTAGCAAAGGCTCATAAGTTAAAGGACTTGCTGGATTTTATTGAGCTGTATTAAAATTCATTCTTTTGACTCAGGTCAGTGTTTTTCTCCAAAATGAGGGATTCTCAACCCTGTCAGATTCAATGCCTCCTTTATAGAACTATTATGAAATGAAATTCATAATTGAGACAAACATACATTTAAAAAATGTACTTACAAAGGAGAAGTAAAGAAAAATGATCAAAGACTATGTATTTCATTATATAAATGCTTGGGCATATCTGAACTAGATGTAGAATGGAGTGCTTCAATGATTGTTTCTAAACATAGAACACCAAGAATACCCAGTCTACAAATGGTGATAACAGGAGTGTTGTGTGTGTGTGACAAAAGAACACATGTCGCCACCAATGCATGTGGTTTTCCAGCACAGTGAATACGTTTGATAAGGTTCTGAACACACCAGGTATAATGTACTTAGTGGTTACATTCTGGAAAATTCAGACCAAATAAAATCTATTGCAAATAAACTCAAAGACTTTTTTGTAATGAGTTAAAGTCTAGTCTAAGACCATTACAAACCACTTATCTATGTAACTATGGGCCATTTAGAAGTCATTGTCAGGACAGTCCTGTGTGTTGCAGATAATGGTATGGTGGTCAGTCAGCTCCTAAATAAAATAGCCCTGATTTGTATTATTTGGGGATTTCTGTGCTGTAAATACGTCAATGACTGATTTTATACTACCTACTGGCTCATAAAATTCCTGCAGATTTAACCATCAGTTTAATAGGTACTAGCTCTGGGACTTCAGTAATTTTGTGGGATATCTAGCATCTCTGGCCTTTTCCCCTTAAATGCTGGTTGGGTTCCCTAAATCATTGTGACAACAAAAAGTCACAAGTTTCCAAAACACCCCATCAAGGGCAGTACTGCCCCTTTGAAAACCAATGTTAATCTCTGGTGACATTTCTGGTATAAGTGACCTCACCAAGTAGTAAGTGCTTTACCTGGGTTGGGTGTATGTGAGACTTATTCCTGGTGTGCCTTCTGGCTGCCTGTTTTGGATGCTCTGCAGAGAAGTGAAACAGTGTTGAACAGTACTGCAGTGCTGGTCTAAGCTTGCACAGCTGATCTGGCTGTACCCTGCCTGAGATCAGGAGGGAGACTCCAGTATATGCTTGTCAACTCTGAGCCCAGAGCAGCCCGCATCATGACCCTTGTTCCATCAGGCCTCTCTCATCCTTGATCAGAACAAAGGAATACCATTTATAGATAAAAGGAGACCCATACTCCAGAGCTCTCCCCTGCTGGAGTTCATTACCACTTTTTTCAACTTACTTTTTCACCTGAGAAGTTAACAAATGGCAGAATCACTGAAGCAAGGCTGCTTTTTTCAGTTCTGGAGTGAGTGTGCAGTTTGAATCATGAAGGCTGGGCAGCAAATGGCCTGCATCATGGACAAGTAGAAGTAATTCACAGAGTCCTGGGACAACTGAGAGCAAGCTATTTTAAACATAGTCCTAAATAGTGATAAGAATGCAGAAGGTAGACTCAGTGGGTTTTATTAAAGTAGAATTTTTTTTAAGACTGGTACCATAAAGGACTAAAGGATCTTTCTCTTTTCTGTCCTAGTGTACACTTGACTCTGAAGTGGCTGTGAGAGTGGGTGGAGAGTTCTTCTTTGACCCTCAGCCCACAGATGCCCCTAGAAACCTCGTGTTGATTGCAGGAGGAGTTGGAATTAACCCCCTGCTTTCCATCCTGCGGTACTCAGCAGATCTCCACCGTGATCGGGCAAACAAAGGAAGTGGATATGAGATAGGTACAATAAAACTATTCTACAGTGCAAAGAACACCAGCGAACTCCTGTTTAAGGTAAGGGCAGGGGGAGATGTATGTTTCATCATTTGCTATAAGCAAACTTGTGTAGTGGTACTAAATGTCCACAAACATTTCTTTTCTAGGTTCTGATTTTTCTGCAAAGGTTCAAACAAAAGACTTTGCAAGGCTTAAACAAGATCAAATGAAAATTAACACATCTTACCCAGGATAATTAAAACTGTCGGTGTTGAGGAAGCTTTTAGTTAAGGAAGAGGATAGGGTCGGGGGTTGGTGGGATGGAATCTAGAGATTAGGTGACGGGAAAGTCACATGGTACCATGAGTCCAGAAGAGTTGAGAGATTGACAGGTGGGCTCGTGTCATGGGAGTAGGTGAGACCTAGATTGTTTGAACCCAGCTGGGTAAATGAAACCCCATCAATTGCATCTGTTGAAACTAAGTACATTCCATGGAGAAGGCTTTCACTCACGAGTGCTTAGCAGCTGCAGAAGTGAACAAAAGAACAGAAACAGTTAAAAGACACAACTGTGGTCAGTGAAACTGCTGCTTAATTGCCAATGCTTGAGAAAAAGGAAAAAGAAAAAACTCCCGGAGAGTTGGTAATATGGTTGTTAGCATATTCAGATTTCAATTAAAGCCAGATAGCCCTCTATACTCTGAATACTCTGGCCTGCTAGACTGCAAACAATATCTCTCTAAGTAGAGCAAGAGCGACAGACGTGTGTAGAATGGGAGTTGTGGTTCGGCATCAGTGGTTGGGCCCATCTGCTTTGATTTTTTAAAAATTGTAGTGTGACCAAATATGTTTGCTATTCCAGAAAAATATCCTCAATTTGGTAAATGAATTTCCTGAGAAGATTGCATGCAGTTTGCATGTTACAAAACAGACTACACAAATCAGTGCAGAACTTAAGCCATATATCACGGGTGAGTGCCCTGAAGATATTTTGACTGTCTCCATGCAGTTTTTTGGTGGACATGGCTGCCATTGGTTGGGCGTAGATGCTTTATTGTTGGGAATTGCTGGGTAGGAATGTCACTACCAGGAGAATTGAGAGATGATTCATCATGGAAAAAAATAAGAAAATACTTAGTTGGATTTACTTATATACAGGCTTCCTCTTACTCATGTTAAAATTTTATTTTTCACATTTTTTAAGAAGCCTTTGCATCATCACTATACTGTTCATGAAAAAAGTTATATCCCATCCTTGGCTGAATGGATTCCATTTGCTATTAATGGTCATTTAAATTACTTGTCTCCCCTGTTTGGAAGGATTTTGATAAAAGTTTTAATTTACTTGCTGAAGACAACTTTGCATCTCAACCAAAGACCAGTAAACTAATTGGCCTTCTTTGCAATGTGCTGTGATTAGCCTCCCCTAGGTTTAAGAAGCCTGGAGATGTACTGAGCTTGAGTTACATTAAATAAACACTTTGCTGAGTTGTGGTTGGTCTGTCCTCATTTCAGAATAAAAATAATGTCTGGCTTAATTTGGTGTTTATTCTGTTTTTTGGTAGAAGGAAGAATAACAGAGGAGGAGATAAAAGACCATATTTCAAAAGAGACTTTGTTCTATATTTGTGGCCCACCTCCAATGACAGACTTTTTCTCCAAGCAACTGGAAAACAACCATGTTCCCAAAGAACACATTTGCTTTGAGAAGTGGTGGTAGGGAGCCGGCAAAGGTACAAAAGAGAAAGAAGCAAGATCCATTCCAGAGAGTAAGAGAGATTATTTCATATCTTTTGTGGCAAGATAAATTTACCTTTACTTGAGTTGCCTCAATTTTGAACTAAGTGACGAGCTGGAGAGTAAAAAAAAAAACTGGCTAACAGACTTAAATTTCTTACAAAGACTTCTTTGATCAAATTATTTTTGACTAAATTTTCTTTTATTAATAATTATTATCTCATGATATACCACAAATTGGTCAACATACATTTTCTTTTGCACATAGGGGAAAAGTCATGTGTACTTAAATTTAATTATGAAATTGTGGGGGTTTTTTGTGAATTGTAGACTAACTTTAAATTGTCAGCAATCCATATATTCTATATTCAATGAACTTAGAATTTTAAATACATTCTTAATAATTTACTTTGAAAATTTATTTGTAATGCCTATGTTAACTTTACCCATGGCCTACAGCCTTATTTGAACATCAGAACTTAGTTTAGAAATGGAAAATTGTGAGGAAAACTGCTTTAGGGCGTGGAACATCTCGCATATTTGCCAATATCCTATATATCATGACCAGTTGTTGGTTTTTCCCTAGTAAAGTGCTTGCTGTCTTGGCTCTCTGCCTTACTGCTGTAGGAGGTGGCTTGATTGGGACAAAGGTGTGTTTGGGACTGCTGTGTTTCATGTTCAATTATGCCTTTAGTGGTTGGCTGGCTGTGGGAATATGCCTAGGATTGGATGGGGGATGGAGCCACTTACAAATTCTGCTCCTCTGCTCTTTATTTCCTTGCTTTTTCAGGGTTGTATCTGGCACCAGCTAGTATAGAACATATACTGGTTGGATAGTTGAGAGAGAAAGCAATGATATTTTAATTTCTTACTAAATCTGGGATTGGGGCAGTTCCTAGAGTAGATGGAAAGAATGGGTACAGCTTTATCTCAAGGCTGCTGTGTTGAAACTGCTAAAAAGCAGACTGTAATTCTTGTCTTGTCTTTTTTTTTTTTTTTTAGATTTTTAAAAACCCAAGAGAAGTCCTTAGGCTGCCTGAGGGCTGGCATTCTTTTTGTGACAGGCTGTCCTGGGCCCAAGGCTGTCAACTTGGAGAACACTACAGGGTGCCTGGGAAGGAGGACAGACCAGTGCTAGAGACTCAGAAAGCCCATTTGAGATTTTGTTCTTGAGCTGATGAGAGAAGACAAGTTGACCTTTCTTTGTTGCTGCAGGCCTCCCAGGGACTGCAGGGCTTGAACACATAATTGATGGCCCCTGAAGAGGGCTGGCATCACCACTGTAGCCTCTGTGCTATTTTGAGTTTCATCGGTTTCAAGCAGAGATTATTTGTCAATTTCAGTTAGGTGCTGCTTAGTGACTGGGGTTTGTTCTGAGAAGTGTGGTGTTAGGTAATTTCATCATTATGTGGCCATCAGGATGATACTTCACAAACTAAGATGGCTATGGCATCCATCATTATATGGTGAAAGTGCAGGGTGACTCATTGTTCACCAAAATGTCACCATGTGCCTCATGACTATATTTGATACCAGATTTGAATTCATTGGGAAGAAGAGAAGGGCTTTTGGCCTGATGGGCATATCAAAGTCCAAAGTCCTCTGCGTTTCAGAGGTGAGGGGAGTGTGAGAAGCTCTGGACTGCCACAGGGAGCCCTGACTTATCAGTTGTTTCCAAAGTGTCCTGCTTGAAGGCTGGGTTTGAGAGCTGAGTACTTAAGAGGCATAGGAGCACAGCATGATGACACTCAGGTGTGTGAGGTCTCCAGGGGTTGGTTGGGGGATGGAGTTCTGCCAACTGGTGAAGGTAGCTGGCAGGGGAGAGACCCCAAAGGTACAAGAGAAAGAGCCCTCCCAGGCCTCTGTATCAGGAGTGGAGGTGCAGGCTGAGCATCCTCTGTGCAGCAGGGAATAAGAGCATGGGGGGTTTTGCTCCCTGCCTCTGTCCAGCCAGCACCATGCTGTGTGCCTGCTGTTGTCAGAGAGCAAGGGCCAGCTCTCCTGGAGATCCCAGCTCTGCCTGCCACCCTGCTGTGGATTCACTGTCACCATCTGTGAGCTGCTGAGACAGGCCAAGTCTTGACCTTTGTTTGCCTGCAGTGTTATTCCTTTCGTCTCTGTCGTTCCAGCGCTCAGTGCTGAATATCGTTTTCTGCTCTGTTGGCCAAGAATGTCCTGTTGCCCTTACCTGCCAGGCTAGTCCACTTGTCTTTGGTACTCCAAATGAGCAGACTACAGTCAGGGTGGCTTGGAATGTATAGTGTGGTGACTGAAGAGTATAGACTAGAGAGAGCCTTTGGGCCAGGCTGTCCAAGTTCAAATATCAACTATTCTACCTGCTAGGTAGAGGATCTTGAGCAAGTCACTGAACTGCATTATGCTTCATTTAAAATTACATACTTGTAACTACAGGTAAACGGGCAATATAACTACTGCCTCCCCCAGGACTGTTAAAGGATTAAATGTGATCACATATATATGCCAGCAGAACACTGCATGGGTATTTTTCACCATTAATTTACTATTCCTTGTCCTATTCAGAAAGGATTTCAAGAGGCCTGATGGCTTAGTTAGTCCACTAATTTGTAACTGTAATGTGGGTAGGGATCTGCTAAAGCATTATATGTGGCACACAGTAGGTACTTTGTAAATATTTGTTACATAGGGATTGTACAACTATGAGCTGAATTAAAGGATTTATTAAGGATCCTTTAGCCCTATGAGTTTGTGAAAATGTTTCTTTTAACAAGAAACTAGGTTAATATGAGATACATGAGTCTTTTTCAAATTTTATATGTTGGTATGATTACCAGTGTGCATTAGAAAAATGGAACAAATACTTGGCTTTCCTTCAGTAGTTTACCCTCACAGGGGCTTTCTACAAGGCAGGGTGTATATCATCACCAACAGGATTTCTTTAGGTGGTTGCAGGGCCTAAAGATGTTTGCCAGGATCCTGATCCTGGTCAGTAGCTCCTACTAAAAATAAAAAGAAAAATATTGTGGAAAATTCCAAGTATATACCATAATTGAGGAGATAGTAGACTGAATTCCGATGCATTCATTTCGCACTTCAGTGACATAAATTCTTCAATGTCTGTTTCTGATAGAAAAACATAATGTAATCATACTCAACACAAGTCAATGATTCTCTTCTATAATCCTGTGTTTTGTCCCCCCCAGCCCCCACCAGCCCTATGGCCTCAAAAGTCCACAGTTGCACTACGTTCCTATGGCAGGAAAGATGAATTCTGACGAGAGACCACTAACTTGGCAACTGGAAAGTCTTGGTAATCTTGATAATGTGGATGGTGGAAGTGAAAACCTAAGAGTGGATTTGGGAACATTTGGGAAGAAAGAAATTTTAATGAGTGAGCATTAATAATTTTGAGGGATTTTATTTTAAAGGAAGAAAGAAGATGGGACAGTAGCTGGAAAAGAAAGTAGAGTCAAGAAAATATTATTTTATTCATTGTTTTTTATTTTTCAGAACTTTTTTATTGGTACATAATAATTATACAGAATAGTGGGATTCATTGTGGCATATTCACACATGCATATGACATAAGTGAGCAGTTTCATTACCTTCCCTTAACCTCCACTCCTCCCTCTCCCCTCTTGTTCTCCTGTCTAGGTATTTTTGGGTGATTCCTTTTTCTTTTTTGTTCTAGAGCTTCCACATACGAGAGAAAGCATCCAATCCTGGTTTATTTCTCTTAATGTGATACTCATTCATTTTCCTGCAGATGACATAATTTCTTCTTCATGGCTGAACAAAACTGTATTGTGTATATATACCACATTTTTACCCATTCAATAGACAGATAGCTTGCCTGGTTCCATAACTTAGCTATTGTAAATTGTGCTGCCATAAACATGGGCATACATCTATCTCTACAGTGTGCTGACTTTAATTCCTTTGAGTAAATAGCAAGGAGTAGTAGAGCTGGATCATTTGGTAGTCTCGGTCTTGAGGAACCTCCATGTGGTTGTACTAATTTACAATCCCACCAACAGTGTATAAGTGTTCCATTTCACGACATCCTTGCTGACATTACTATTTGTATTCTTAATTATTGCCAATGTTACTAGAATGAGACAAAAATCTGTAGTTTTGATTTGCATTTCCCTGACTGCTAAAGATATTGAACACTTTGTGTTTAGTTCGTTTACCAATTTATTGATTGGGGTGTTTTGTTTTTTTGGAGAGGGGGAGATGAGTTCTTTATATATTCTGGATATTAGTTCTCTATCAGAAGAGTAGCTAATAGATTTTTTTCCCCTAGTCTGTAGGTTCTCTCTCCATGCTGTTAACTCAGTAAATCCTAAATTTTTGGGACTATGTTTAACAAAATTGATGCAGGTGTAAATTGGCACATAGTTGGAAATCATAATCTAGAGTTTATTCTTTATTATTAAGAACAATAATGCAGATTGTCCTATAAATAGGACACTGGGACAGTATAGTGTGTGTGTGTGTATGTACATATTTATAAGATAGCATACACACACACACACACGCTATCCTGTAAATAGGACATTGGGCAAATATTTCATACATTACACAATATACAAAGAAGTGCCCCGTTCATGATGTGGAAGGAAGCAAAACACTTCAGAGGATTACAGTACATTTTTATAATGTTGGTTTTGCACAACATGGCTTATTTTGACATTGTCATTGTTGTTGCTACTTGAGAATAATGCTTCTCATGTCAAATCTGACATCTGGGATAGAAATAGGTCTGGGAATATGACCTTTGATTGCTCCTGATGGTTTCTCCCTACCTTGCTTAAGGTAAGCAGATGTTTCTCTTTGAGATCGCTCTTGTCTTTGTTCACACATCTTGAATAATTCTTACATTTTCGAAGAACATACCAATTATTTGACTGCACAAAGACCAGTACAGTGTTTTACCTCTAATAGAAGTGGACTATTTGGAAACCAGTTATGTTTGTCCACATCGCCATTGAAATAGTTATAGGAACCCACTCCTTTGGTTGACTTATATTGATTCACTTTTTTCCCCCCATTGTTGAACTTTGCCAAGTGATTCCACTGTATTAGTTTGCTTCAACAGTGACATATTTGTAATGTAACCATTTTACAATGAGAATTCATTATTTGTATTGAACCTTATAATCATATGTCCCTCTTGGCTTGCATTTTTATCAATGATTCAGTTTCAGAGGACACTTGTTTAATCTGTGGTTTTTTTTTCCCCCCTCATGGTGTCTGTAGCTTGGCATCCAATGTTTTGAAGGTATACCAAGTCATAACTAGTGATTACATTGTAAAATGAAATTGTGATTATAGATTTTCCTACCTTCAAATGTGTAAAATGATCTTACTCTCAAGCAAAAAGATCATTGTTGGATTCTTCTTGAGCATTTTTTTGACAATACAAGTCAAAGTTATAATAATATCCCCATATTCTGCACCGGGCCCCAAATTTATAACTGAATCTCGTGGGCTTATCTCTTATAAATTGTTTCAGTGAATTTTGTCCATAACATGATGATCATTTCGCCCACTATCAAATATCCTTAAAGATGCCAAAAATTTACCAGAAATTTTATTTTTCTCAAGCATTCAGAATAAATGTTTTCTCTAATATATTCTTCAGAGTATGAACACAGGTCACAACTTGTCAACAAGTAATTACAAAGAACAACATGTTAGTGTTAGGCAGCAACACATGCAGTACAGTACACATTACCATGAAGTATACGTTGTTCCAGTGTCCTGCTTATAGGACAGGTACTTTTGAACATTGATAATTTGAAATACAGTGTATTCCTTGAAATAAAATGACAGCTAGTTCTAGAAAATGCTTTCATGGGTACATTTCTTCAGTTATGCATGTAATGTTTTGTTCAATTGAACATTTAGAAAGAGTAAACTTGAAGTTTGTTATCTTCACTATTTCAGCTGGGCAGGGTGGCACACACCTATAATCCCAGTGTCTGGGGAGGCTGAGAAAGAAGAATCGCAAATTCAGCCTCAGCAATTTAGTGAGGCACAAAGCAAATTAATAAGATCATGTCTCTAAATAAAATATTAAAAAGAATGGAATGTGGCTTATTGGTTAAGTGCCCCTGGGTTCAGTTCCCAGTACCCACCCCCATCCAAAAATTGAATGTTTTTTCCCAAAACTCTAGAAACATAGTATTTATTTCAAAGTTTTTATAGATAGTAAATTTGTTAATCAGTTTTAATAATTGTACAGTATTTAGTATGATGGGATAAAATTGTTTCTTTGCTGTAAGAAGGTTTTTAATTTGAAGCCATTCCATTTAATGATTCTTGGGTTTATTTTCTGAGCTTTAGTAATCTTACTAAAGAAGTTATTGTTCGGCTATATAACTGTTAGTGTTTCACCTGTTTTCTTCTAGCACTTATTGGGTTTCTGGTCTAATTCCCAAGTCTTTCATCCGTTTTAAATTGACTTTGTAGGGTGAGAGATGGGATCTAGTTTCATTCTTCTTCATGGACATCCAGTTTTCCTAGTGCCATTTGTTAAAAAGGCTGTAGGCTCTTTTCTCCCAACTAATGTTTTTAGTGCCTTTGCCAAGGATCAGTTGACTATCTGTATCTCTGTTTTTATACCATTACCATGCTGTTTATTTTTTACTGTAGCTCTCAGGTACAATTTGAAATCATGTATTGTGATGCCCCCAGCATTTCTCTTTTTGATCAGAATTGCTTTGGCTATTCTGGGTTTTTGTTCTTCCATATGATTTTAGGACTGCTTTTTTTCTAATACAGTGGAGAATGTCATTGGTATTTTGACTGGGATTATACTGAAATGGTAGAATACTTTTGTTAATGTGGTCATTTCAACAATATTAATTCTGCCTGCAGTGAATATGGGAGGTCTATCTTCTAATGTCTTCTATTTCTTTTTTCAGTATTCTGTAATTTTCCTTGTAGAGGTCTTTGAATTCTTTGGTTAGATTTATCCTAGGTTTCTTTTTTTCATTTTTAAGGTTTTGTGAATGGACTTATTTTTCTGATTTCTTTATAAGCAGGTTCATTTTGTATATAGGAAAACCAATGATTTTTTCTTTGTATTTTAATTTGGTGAATTTATCAGATGTAGAAATTTTCTAGTGGAGCTTTTAGGATCTTTCAAGTATAGGATCATATCATGAATAGGGATAATTCCTTTTCTATTTATAACCCCATTTTTTCTTTCTCTTGCCCAATCCCTCTAGATGAAATTGCAAATACTATATTGAGTATAGAGAGCAGACATTTTTGTCTTATTCCTGATTTAAGGGAAATGTTTTCAGTTTTACCCCATTCCATATGATGACAGCTTTGGGTTTGTCATATATACTTTGGTTGTACTATGTTTGTCATATATACTTTTGTTGTTCTATATCTTGTTTTTTTGTTGTTGTTGTTTTTTCCAGGGATTTCATCATGAAGGGATGTTGCATTTTGTCAAAGGCTTTTTCTGCATCTGTTGAGAGGATTATGTAGTTGTTGTTCTTGACTCCATTTTTGTGGTGTATTATATTTGCAGGTTTATGAATGTTGAACCATCCTTGCATCCCTGAATGAAGCCATGTTGGTCATAATGTAGATCTTTTTGATGTGTTTCTGAATTCAATTTGCAATTATTTTGTTAAGGAGTTTGGTACCTATATTCATGGACATTGGTCTATAATTTTATTTTCTTTATGTGTCCTTATGTTTTTAGTATCAGTGTGTTATTGGTTTTGTAGAATGAGTTTAAAAGCACCCTCCCCGCCCCCGTTTCTCAGAATAATTTGAAGAGTATTGGTGTTCTTTAAAAACTTGGTAAAACTCAACTGTGACTATCGGGTTCTGGGCTCTTTGCTGGAAGGTTTTTTAAAACTACTGTTTCTATTTCATTGCTTGAAACTGGTCTGTTTAGATTTTCTATAGATTCTGGTTCCAACTTCATAGGTCATGTGTGTCTAGAAATATACTCATTTCTCCTGGATTTTCCAATTGATTAGAATATGGATTTTAAAAATAGTTCCTAATGATCCTCTGGAATTTCAGTGGTGTTTATTGTAATATCCTCTTTATTATTTCTAACTTTATTAATTTGAGTCTTTTTTAAAAGGGTTTATCGGTCTTTTCAAAGAGCTGATTTTTTTAAAGGGAATTTTTTAATACCTTTATTCTATTTATTCATTTGTATGTGGTGCTGAGGATCAAATGCAGGGCCTCACATGTGCTAAGCAAGCACTCTACCACTGAGCTATAGCCCCAACCTCAAGAGCTGACTTTTTAAATTGATCTTTAGTATTG